AGTGCCAACAGCTATCTGTCGTTGTGACTGACCAGACGATGTGCGTACATGAATGCCATCATTTGCTTTGAAATGAACTCCCCGACCTTCTTTCTTTCTTTTGACCTCTTCCCGAAGGTGACTGATATCTTGATACAAACTAACTCGTATGCCCCTTATCAAAATGGTCTTTTCCATAGTAATTAATTTTTCAAATGAACATACTGATAAAGATGCGTAAATTTCAAGATTGTTTATTCCTAAAATTTCGCTTGAGGATGAAACAGGGCTTGATACTTTAATTCAATTTAATTTTAATAATTATACTGAGGTTTTTGGCTCTTGTTTTTGAAACATGAGAACTCTTATGTATTGAAGGAAACATTTTTTTAAAATATAATTATAATATATATATATATATATATATATATATATATATATATATATATTGGATGTATTTGGTCAGTAAAATTTTGTTCCTATTTCTATTTATTTATTTCTCATTTTTAATATATTTTAATTAAAATTTCTTACTAACTTTTAATACATACACAAGCATATACACACAGACACAGACACACACACGCACACACACACACACACACACACACATATATATATATATATATATATAGATAGATAGATAGATAGATAGATAGATAGATAGATAGATAGATATTACTTAGCCCTTCGTTGCTTTTTATGCAATCATTCATATTTTTTTCGATCAATTCGGCTAAAGCAAGGCAATAATGCCACTAAGATGCAAGGCGCTACTGGGAATGAAAGAACATGAAAAGATTTTAGAAGTACCAGGAAATCGGATATTAAACAGAAAACAAGGGATAAAACTGTACTCCTGTTCACAAGATAGGGGAGGTGTGTGAACGATAGTAGAACCTATTTACTTCTATTGAGGAGATAGATAATTAGTAAATAAAAGTTTAGGCAGAGACGTTAGAAGTATAGAGTTGAATTAATCTTTATAAGGAGCCAGAAACCCAATCCTAAAGAGGAAGCAAGTGGTAAATCCCTAATCCTGTTCAAAAATGCGCCGAAAGGTTTATAACTCAGTTACTGATGGCCGTACAGCATCTATTATGGCTGTACAGGAATACAAGGGAATGACAGTCTTGACTGCACCGAATGTATGTGAAGACGCTCTCCCCGATGTCGCCTTGTTTTCATCCCGTCGAGCACGCTTCTCTGGGGCGGCAGCGGACCTTCGTTTCTCCTCTCTTCGCTCCAACCTTCGGGTATAAAACGCGCCTCCAGCGTGTGCTATCGTTGGCAACCTCTTCCCACTTCTCGGTGTCCATGTCTAACACCCTCATGACCTCTTTTGCAGACGTCCTTTAAGCGAAGATGAGGTCGCCCACGTGCCTTCTTGCCGGCGGTCAGTTCATTCCTCGGGACCCTCCCATCCTGCATACGGTGTATACGCCCAAACGGGCACGTACCCCGTGTGCTGGGTGAAAAGCGGAGCCGACGCTGTAACTCGGCACCGGTGAAAGCTACGGTATTGGTGACCCGGTCAAACCAACTGATACCCAGAAAAAAAGGCTTAGACAGAAGCGTATATCTTTTTAAATTTGGATTTTTAATGTAACTATAAAAACAAAAACATTTAGATTTCATTTTTGCCTTGAAATAGTCGGAAGACGAAACGCGTCAGCAAAATCTAAATTTTTCAATTGCCATTTTATACCAATTTGTCTTGTCCACAGAATTGATCTGGGAATTTAACTATATATATATATATATATATATATATATATATATATATATATATATATATATCAGAAATTAGTTATATATATATATATATATATATATATATATATATTTCAGAAATAAAATTTCGCTTGAAGATGGAACAGAGCTTAGTACTTTAATTCAATTTAATTCAAATAATTATATTGAATTTTTTGGCTCTTTGTTTTGAAACATGAGACCTCTTATGTAGCGTGTTGGAATCATATTTTAAATAAATAATTATATTTATGCTCTACTTTTGTATCGAGCACTATTTTTTAAAAAATAATAACAAAAAATACTAAATAACTTTAAATTATTTACCTAATAAGTTCTTTCCTATTTTCTATATATTTTCACACACACACACACACACACAAACACATATATATATATATATATATATATATATATATATATATATATATATATATATATTTGTGTGCATGTGTGTGTGTGTGTGCGTGTGTGTGTGAAAATTTTTGGGATCAGATACAGATCAGACATGTAAAGTATTTACTCTGTCCTCCCACTAGGACGAGATGTGACGCAAGGTCTATTTATAGGTGGGGACCCGAGCGTTTACACCCGGGACAGATCAAAATTTTCCCTCATCCCCCGCAACCGACGGTTGTGCTGGCCTCGGTGCGAGCACTCGTCCCTCCCTCTGGTGCAATGGGATATATATATATATTTTCTCAGTTGCCCCTCTGTCCTTTGACAGAGAAACCTCTGAGCGCCCTCTGCCCAAAGACAGAGACGCAACTAAGAGATGATAAGTAAACGGGAACCTACTCAAAAAGAGCAGACATGGGTAGGAAGCAGACAGAATAATACGGTACATACAAATAAGAAACGTTTATCAACCTAACAGGTTTCCCTTTTATTAAAACTTCACCAGAGAATGAGATACAAAGAGAAAAAAAGAAAATTCTGGTATTTGTATTTTTGTGTTGTTTGATTTCATTGGTTAATCAGGCTTCAAGCGCATTTGACTTGTTAAGCAGCGTTAGTATAATTAAATGCTTTCTGATCTCAAGGAGAGACGATACGTCTTTTTGAAGCTCCAACGTTTTATTTTAGTTAGGCTTGGAATCCGTTAATTTTTGGAGGCTTCGAAAGCACGATGGGGAGAATCCACGTTCAGAGAAAGTCCCCAACGCCACAGACGCTAACTGACGAAAGTCGAAGATGAATAAACAATTATTCTACGTATGACAGTTTTATTCTTGTGTTCTGTACCTTCATGACATTACATGCTGATTTTCAAGATAGTATTTTTCTCTCAAAACAAAAAAAATTGATGCTACACGATCTTCCAGTTCTTCTGAGTGGTCATTTGTCGCAAATACCCTCGATGATAGGAGCGTTGAAGTCAACATACTGTATAAAGAAAGGTTCTATTATTGATGCGCATTTTGTGAGTTTAACCAAATTTTATGAACCTGTTGTTCAATTATTAGCAATGATTTGATAAACGTATGCCTAACTAGATAACGATAAAAATTTACTAATTGACTTAGCAGAGGCGTAATTAGCGAGGCTTGTGTTGTCGGAAAAGCATTTGCTGGCGTTTACGTCAATAGAGCTGAGTTAGAAAATTGCCCTTAGCGGATTTTACTGAAGGCCGTCGACGCATGACACTGATTTTGTGAACACTGGGAGAGAGAATAAAAGCGAGAGAAACAGAGACAGGAAAGAAAGAAAGAAAGAAAGAAAGAAAGAAAGAAAGAAAGAAAGATGAAAACTGGTTTAAATGGAACATTGAAGCAGGCTGAGAAAGAAAGAAAGAAAGAAAGAAAGAAAGAAAGAAAGAAAGAAAGAAAGAAAGAAAGAAAGAGGACTGGGAACTTAAATAGAAATTGAAAAATATAAAGAAAGAAAAAAAGAAACAATCAAAAAAGAACTAACGAAAGTAAGAAAAAATGGATCAAACGGGACGAACATTTGAAATGTTTATTGGCTGAGATAGATAGATAGATAGATAGATAGATAGATAGATAGATAGATCTGGAAGGACAGATTTTATATATATATATATATATATATATATATATGCATCGATAGATATAAACAGGCGAACATAGATAGATAGATAGATAGATAGATAGATAGATAGATAGATAGATAGATAGAAAGCAATGAAAAAAATTAGGGAAAGAGAGCGAAAACTTGAAAGAGAAATTGGGACAGACCGTCGAAGAAAGAAAGAAAAGAAAGAAAGAAAGAAAGAAAGAAAGAAAGAAAGAAAGGTAAAAAAAGAAATGGATGAAAAGAAACAAGCAATTGAAAGGTGCTTT